TTATCGAGGTCTTTTGAGCAGTGCATTCCTTCTGTGCCATGAAGCTGCCCCCAGCATCATTTTGAAGTACAAATGTTACATCACACCTGCCCATCAGCCTCTGCAATGGTCCAAAAGCTTAGGGAAAAGAGTACACAGGGTGGGAAGACAGGGTAGGTGAGGCATTACCTCCTGAGCCAGGAAGCGCAGTTTTGCCAGGAGCTTCTTGGCCAGTGTCACCTTCTTTTGCATGTTGCCCTGTTTCACGCCCCGTAGAAGCCACAGTCCTTGCTTCGCCAACAGATTCTGGAAGGGCAAGAAGAGAACATGAGTGAAGGGCCCCAGCTAGGGACTCCTGGTGCAAAGCTCTGAATAGAATATTAGCAAATTCTTCAGCCCATACCAGGCTGTGCATCAGCAGTTTCCCTCGGCATCGATCCAGGGCGTTGGGCCGGGTCATTGTCCTGCGCTCAGCTCCGCGGCAGAACTGTCTGCAGAGAGCAGGGCATAAAGAACAGGTTGGGGGACCAGCAGTTAGCGTAATGACTATGTCGCTGGACTCCCATGTAGTCGACTGCAGTTCATGTCCCGGACCTGGTGGCTTAAAACTCACGCCGGGCACATGTGCATGCGTGCCCAAGATGCCAAGAGAAGAATGGAGAAGGGATTGTGGCGTGGCCATCCCCCCTGGGGGTTGATTTCTCTCTTTCTGTCTCTCTATCTCTTTCTCTGTCTGGCAAGAGCACGCGCCCTATAGCAAAAACCTCTATAAAAAAAAAAAAAAGAACAGGTGGGAGTCACAGGCGAGAACACTGAGTCTTGGAGCCACTTCCCTGAAAGCAGTACTCCCACCCCCAGATTCCCACACAGTCCTCACAATCTTGTTCCAAAAGATACCCTTCCTTATCAAAGGCTGGTCTTCTGAATTCGGACCATGCCCAAATTCATCAAGGCCAGCCTCACCTGTGAGCCCCAGGGGCCACTAATATTTAACCCACTATTCCCCTAGCTACTTCATGTGTGGCCTGTGCATAAACAGCATTGAGATCACCTGCACACAAGTTAGAGCTGCAGAATTTCAGCCCCACCTCAGACGCCACTGTCTATGTGAGAAAACATCTACATGTTGGGAACCAGCAGTTAGCGTAATGGCTATGTCGCTGGACTCCCACATAGTCGACCGCGGTTCATCTCCTGGACCCGGTGGCTTAAAACTCACGCCAGGCGCGTGTGCGTGTGTGCCCAAGATCCCGAGAGGAGAATAGAGGAGAAGGGATTGCGGCGTGACCATCCCCCCTGGGGGGTGATTTCTCGCTTTCTGTCTCTATGTCTCTCTCTCTCTGTCTGTCTGGCGAGCGCACGCGCCCTACAGTGAAAATCTCTCAAAAAAAATAAATAAATAAAAATCTACATGTTCATAGCCTGGGAGATTACTATGTGCCTTTATGTCTGAGATGGCCAGTGGTTTAGTCTCCACCAAGTTAACTAAAATAGAGTTGAAACATTACATGCCCAAACCAAAGGCATGACTGCCAACTACATCACCCCCAAAAACAAAACTCTGCTCAACCTCAAACTGTCAGCGATCCTTAACTGTTCTTTTTCTTCCATTCCGTTCCATCCATCATGTTCTACCTTCAAAATATATTCAGAATCTAGCTACTTTTCTCCCTTTCTTCTTCTCAAGGACCACCCTGGCTGAAGCCACCATCCTTTCTCACCTAGGATAACTGCCAAGGCCTCCTCTCTGCTCTCTCTGCCTCCATTCTTAGCTCCATCCTACAGAATATTCTCAAGATAGCAGCCAGAGATGGCTATGTCGCTGGACTCCCACATAGTCGACCGCGGTTCATCTCCTGGACCCGGTGGCTTAAAACTCACGCCAGGCGCGTGTGCGTGTGTGCCCAAGATCCCGAGAGGAGAATAGAGGAGAAGGGATTGCGGCGTGACCATCCCCCCTGGGGGGTGATTTCTCGCTTTCTGTCTCTATGTCTCTCTCTCTCTGTCTGTCTGGCGAGCGCACGCGCCCTACAGTGAAAATCTCTCAAAAAAAATAAATAAATAAAAATCTACATGTTCATAGCCTGGGAGATTACTATGTGCCTTTATGTCTGAGATGGCCAGTGGTTTAGTCTCCACCAAGTTAACTAAAATAGAGTTGAAACATTACATGCCCAAACCAAAGGCATGACTGCCAACTACATCACCCCCAAAAACAAAACTCTGCTCAACCTCAAACTGTCAGCGATCCTTAACTGTTCTTTTTCTTCCATTCCGTTCCATCCATCATGTTCTACCTTCAAAATATATTCAGAATCTAGCTACTTTTCTCCCTTTCTTCTTCTCAAGGACCACCCTGGCTGAAGCCACCATCCTTTCTCACCTAGGATAACTGCCAAGGCCTCCTCTCTGCTCTCTCTGCCTCCATTCTTAGCTCCATCCTACAGAATATTCTCAAGATAGCAGCCAGAGTGCTCTTTTTAATGCATTTCCAGATCATTCCACTCCTTGCCAGTAATTTTTCATCTAAGACTAAATATCAAAATCCTTAAAATGGACTGAAAGGCCCCGCATGCTCTGGCTCCTTTTATCTCTCTATCCTCAGTGGCCACACAGATTTTTGCTCTTTCACAAACACACCAAGCCCATTACCACCTCAGAGCCTTGTATTAGCTATAATCTCTGCTAAAATATCCTCCCTGTAGATCTGTGCATGGTTTACTGCCTTTCTTCATTCAGGTTTCTGCGTAAACATCAGCCTACTTTCTCCCTTCATTCATGGCAGAGCGTATGCATGTCCTCAGGAGAGAGAAAGAGAAAGAAGAGCACCCTCCACGGGGTCAGGTGTTGCCTCATTCCCTTCTTTCCTCCTTGAGCCTGTCAGATCTTGGGCTTTTGTACACATACCTGACATGTCTCAGGCTGACCAGGCAGGGGATTCAAACTGTGGTTGCCATGTGGGATCTGACTTCTCCTGAGCAGCATATTATCACCGTGCCGTAGAACAGTCCCAAATGTCACCTCCTTATAGATCTTCCCCAACTCACTCATAGAAGAAGCCAAGGTCATTACAATGGCCTAGGAGGATCCACATGATCTGCCTCTCCCCACCATCATGCCCCTTCCCTCCACCTCTGCAGCGTCATCTACTCTGCTCACACCGCTGTCGTCACACTGGTGCCCTCCTCAAACACACCAGGCATGCTTTCGCCTCAGGCCTTTGCACGTGCTGTCCCCTCTACCTGGAACACCCTTACAGACGTGGCTTGTACCTTCATCTTCTTCATGTCACCACAGTAGCCTCCCATCTCTACACTTTCTAAAATTGCAACACCTCTCTCTGATACTTCCTTGCTTTATTTTCTCTCTTAACACTTGTTCTTATCTTATTGTATTTCCATCTCTTTGTTTACACATGTATTGTCTGTGTCTCCAACCATCTTCTACCCCACTCCCCACACCAGATCTTGAACTTCAGGGATTTTTGTGGACAGAGATGCTTTTTCACTGCTGTTGTACCTAAAACAGTGTCTGGCATAGTCAGTGTCATAAATATTCACGGAACAAATAAATAATGCTTGGAAAGGGGATCAAAAAAATACCTAAGGGGACCAGCAGATGATGTAATGGTTACGTTGCTGGACTCATACTTCGCTAACCGTAGTTCGAGTACTCGACCTGGTGGCTTGAAAATTATGCTGGGAGTGTGTGTGTGCATGCCCAAAATCCTGAGAGGAGAATGGAGGAGAAGGGATTGTGGCATGACCTTTCCCCTGGGGGGTGATTTCTCACTTTCTGTCTCTCTGTCTCTATCTCTCTGGAGAGTGCACATGCCCTTAGGGGAAAAAAAAAGGAAAATACTTTTTTTGGGAGAGGTTTTTGCTATAGGGCACGTGCACTCGCCAGACAGACAGAAACAGAAAGCGAGAAATCACTCTCCAGGGGGGATGGCCGCAATCCCTTCTCCTTCATTCTCCTCTCGGGCACACAGGCACACGCGCCCAGCATGAGTTTAAGCCACCGGGTCCAGGACTCAAACTACAGTCGACTACACGGGAGTCCAGCGACATAGCCATTACGCGAACTGCTGGTCCCAAGAAAGGAAAATACTTAGGAACCTTAACAGGTTAGCAGTGAAGGTGAAAGATGGAAGCAACTAGAACATGTGTGTATGGTTACAATAATGATCTGGTAACTAGGAACCAGGAGATACAGGAGATTAAGCGGCATTTGCAGAGCTAACTCCTCCAGCAGAGGAGAGGAGATGAAATCAGAATCATAGCTGTGGCTGTTGGAGCAGGGTCACTTCCTGTGCTGTAGTGGGAAGGAAAGACAGTGGACAGGTGCAGAGGCTGGCTAAGTGGTAGACTGGATGAAGGAAGGAGAAGTAGGAGAGAAGGTCGTTAGCTGGAACAAATGTGGAGGAGAGAAGAGGGAAGCTTTGAGAAGGGAAATGTATAGACTTCTAGGATCATGAGAAAGGGATCTTATTAGAGATAGAAGGCCGCAGTGGCACCAAGGGTATCTAACCCAATAATCTCTAATGAGCTCCCTTGATTCCTCCTCATTCTACTGTAAAATGCTGAGCACACACAGTTTCAGGTCACCTTTGGGCCTAGACAGCCACCATGAGTTTCTCTCATCCTGGAGTTGGGAGTGGAAGGACTGTCAGCAGTAGGACTGGCTCTCAACTCACCTGCTCCCAGCCACGAGCTCTTCTAGCGTCTGCTTGAGCCGAGCACATGCACTGGGCCCTGGCCTGCGCTGCAGCATCTCAACCTCCTGCAGACCCTGGTCCTGTGCACCACAGTGAGAGGGTCAGTCTTGAGTCCCTGATCCAAACCTCTTATAGACCACAACACCACCCCAAGGCCCTGCCCCAAACCCCCAGCCCACACACAACCACACCACTCGGCCCGCGTGCCTTCTGGCTCCATCAGGTTCATGGTTCCATTCATCTAGCCCCCGACAGGCACCACCCCTGAGGGTTCAGTCCCCAGTAGTTCTACCCTTCTCCTTCATCCAGCCCCTTCCTGGGCCCAGCAATTCTGAGTCCCTCTCCTGCCACAGCTTCTGGCTTCCTATTTGCCCAGAAGCTGCACTGTTTGGCCTCCATCCCCTGGCCTTGCACCAACAAAATGTGGCTCCCTGGTGCCCTGCCTCTTAGTCCAGCTCCAGAGCTCCCTTTCCAAGCTGGGGTCTCCCCGATATCCCTACCACCTGGCCTCTCCCTGTGGGTACTGGTTGAGCCCTCACCAGCCTCTCGGCCACTTTGCCCACGCAGTTGCTGCTCTGTAGGCGCCATGTGTGATCCTCCCAGCGGCTCCACACCCGCACGCACGGCTTGCGGTGCCGCAGAGGCAAGCAGAAGTACGGCCTGGACCAGAAGAGAGGAGTAGAGGCTTCAGGGGTGTCCTGGGTCCCTGTGGACCTCTCAACACTATTGTTTCAGTCACTAGAAACACTCACCCGCTGCCATCCATGGGCTCGGGCTGCTGAGCAGGGGTCCCCAGCTCCTCATGCTCCTCCACTGCTGCCTGGGTGCCCACGACTGATTCCAGCAGAGGCTGTGCCTCCACCACTGCAGCCTCGGTTCCCTCCCCAGCCCTGGACCCTCGGCCCAATTGCTCCTCCTGGCGACCTGCATGACCTAACAACCCCAGAGCAAGAAAGGTCAGCATGCACCAGGCTGAAGGTCAGACCCCTCCCTTAACACCCTCTTGTCTCAATAGAAGTCAGAGCCATCCCTTACTGAAGGCAGACCGCTCTTGCAGGGGTCTAAGGTCTAAAATTAGAGTGACCACCCTTAGACTCATGACCCTCAGAGGCTTAGCTAGGCCACACACCAATGGAAATCTCGAAGCTGATGGGCTGCGAGGCTACAGCAGGGTCAATCATGGTGGCCTCAAAAAGCACGCCGAAAAGCAGGAAATCCTCGCAGGGTGCCAGGGCATTCTGGAGGAGGGAGTCAGGTTGGGGTCAGCCCCTACTCTCCCAGGGAACAACCACAAACCCCACAAAAGGACAATGCCACCAAAGCCTAGAAGTCACTGCAGATATCCTACCTCCCTCTTTGTAGCTCCAACCCGTTCACTCTGAGATTGGCCCTCTCTGGCCCACCCCTGACTGGTGGATCCCTTCCCCAACATGTATACATAAACATAAGCACATGTGTGCATACACTGCACTTTTCACCCAGGCTCCCACACTGAGCCTGCTCCCCACCCTGTGGGAGTGGATTATGCGCTCCAGAGCTGGGAGTAACCCCACTCGCTTTGCTAGCCCTCAGCCCCCACCTCTGGCAGCGGTAGCAACTCCTCCACCTCCACCTCCATCGCACTAGGAATCTCAGGCCCATTCCCGCTGGAGCTGGCATCGGCATGCTGTGTAACCCCGGGTGGGGTCTGGCCCCGCTTGGTTTTCTTCTTCTTTTTTCCGGTAAGCCGGGACAACCTGGACCCCTGTGGGGCCTGGGGAGCCTCGGGTTCAGCTCTACCTTCGAAAACTTCCATAGACACCGCCACGAGAAGGCGGCCACGGAACCAAATGCCTTGGCCAAGGCCTTCATTCAAACTTTGAAGACCGTCCCGGAGCCCTCCACTAGGGAGCGAGCCATAAAGGTGCACCCAGGCCGGGCCGAAGGTGGGGTTAAACCCGGCTGTGGGGAACAAGAACAGTGTTTAGGAGGGGAGTACCCGAAGGCAGGCACAAGGTCAGTCTATGCACCACACCCTATCTCCTGCAAGTCCTGACGGAGGGCATTTCGTCCTCGCTAGAAAAGAAGGTTTGCGAACAGCTGCACACGCACAGCTGTTGACACTTCCACCCAGCTCAGCTCCCAACGGCGCTGCGGACAGATGGAGCCAGGGCTGTAGATACCCGGCCAGAGCCGTGGAGGTGGAGTCAGGATGCGGGCAGAGCTAGGGTTGTAGTGCACCGGACTCGGGTAAATGCACCTGTGTAGACTGGCTGGTTTCAGTGTGTGTACTTCTGTAGGAAGGGCTGGGTGTGCGGCTCTGGTCAGGCTTTTGTCAACGAGCTAAACGGAGAGTGGGGTTTGTAGCCTGGGGGCCACCGCGAAGCTCCGAAGAGCGGGGTCGGTTGGGAGATACTTGTTCTGTGAAGTGGAGCGGACTTCCTAAGCGGAGATGGGTCTCCAGGATGGAGTTTGCATTCGAAACGGGGGCGGAGTTGGCTACAGGGGCCGGACCTAGGGCAGGCAGGGCCCTGGCCCGCCGCCCTCGCGGGCCAGAAGCGCTCACCTGCGCGGCCTGGGTGGGAGATCTGCCTCAGGTCCAGCACGTGTGTGGCGAGGGCCACGTCGACCAGGGGCCCGTCGTCGCGCAGTTGCAGGCGAAGGCCGCGCGTCAGCGGCGGGAAGAGCTCCACGAAGCTCAGCTGTTCGTTCCACTCCGGAACCGCCGTTTCGCCGCGCACCGACGTCTCGCCCTGAAGGCGACAAGAAGACGCTCGGAGAAGGGTCAGGGCGC